CACACACACACACACACACACACACACACACACACACACACACACACACACACACACACACACACACACACCTAAATGTTCTACTCGGCATTTGCCAGGTGGTCATGCTCGCTCTTTCAGCCACGGGGGCATTATAATGTGACTGTTAATCCCACTATTCGTTGGTAAAAAGAGTAGCCCAAGAGTTGGCGGTGGGTGGTGATTAGTTGCCATCCCTCTAGTTTTACACTGCTAAATTAGGAATGGCTAGTGCAGATAGCCCTCGTGTAGCTTTGCACGAAATTCATAACAAACAAACAAACAATAAATTGAAACATATGTGCATAATTCATTTTAAGTGTATACATAATAATGAAGTTTTTTTTGTTTTTTTTTCCAACCTTGCCAGCCTGGTGTACCTATGGAAATAGCTCTTAACAAGTAAGTGGACTTTAAATTGATTCTGGAGGTAAAATACATGTTGAGTGTACTTGGTTGTAATGTCTGAAGTTAACTTGAATGGAGTTTCACACACATAGCAAGGTTTATTTAGAATGCCATAGATATAATTTAGCATAATTAGGTGCCCAGTTATCAATTTTGCAAATATGATTTTTTTTTAACAATCGTGTGCTAGTATAGTGAGAGATTTGCATTAGATATGAGCTAGTTGTCAGATCAAATGTGATTTACCATGCAATTTCATACCTTGAAAATACTTAAATTCTACAGTTTTTTTTAATATTAATACTTGTCTTTAATTAATTTGGGTTCTGTATGTTAAACACTCACTCACTTCAGTAGATTAGCTTCTACTTTCAAACACATCACTATATTATGTTATTTAGATTTGTCAAGGTTTTCTTAATGTAATCTTGACTATTAAATGTTGAAGTTGTCATTTTGAATAATTTTCAAACATAACTGACCATCTATATGTTTCTAAAAGTAAGTTCTAGCATGAGCAATGACATTGGGTAACCTTAAGTTTTTACCAATCAAGGAAAAACTGATTAAAAATATCATTTATCAAGTCCAATTCATGAGGTGCAAGTTACTATTGGATTAGAAATATCAAGGCCAATGGTAATGCATATTCCAATATGGTACTTCACTCCGCTTACAATATTAGCTAGTCTTGTTCTTTGCTGCCCTCTATATGTGAACTTTTTTCTTTACACATGCCACAAGCCTTTTGCTCCCCCCAACTGTTGGAATCAAGTGATTCCAATGTGTATCTCATGCAAATCATCATGCATAACCTTTCTACCAATAGGAGCAAAGTACACTCGTGTTTTTTTGGACTTTATTTCCCAAGTATGTGACGTCTTATCTCTAGCTCCTATTTCTTATGACCCCTGTCCTTTCTTACTGCATGAATTTTTGTCCCAACAGTGTTTATTTTCCCCCATCCATTAACATTTGGATCCATGCTGACCAATTTGACTTTCAGTTACATGATGGTGTTAGCATGCCTCATCCCCAAAGGGCATTGGATCAGTCTGCCCTCGCTTATCATCGTGCTGACAGTCCTTATCTCGACCAACAACTGTTGGATTCTGTTTTACCCTGTTAGTTTAAACTATGCCCAATTTTCCCGCCTCTGTCTTACCCTCACAACTCTTTTGCAGTATATTTCACTCTGTGGCGAGTGGTGCCTGAGCAAGTATTCTTTAACTCAAAATCTGCAGTGTATGGCCATGTTGACTCATGCTTTATTTTCTATAGTTTCTGAATGCTCACTGTTGAGATGGGGTGTTTCACAAGATTGCATGTAGGTGAATAACCTTGCAATGTTTGCTTCATAAATATGCCCATTCCGGACTGTACCACTCATGGGCTTCGTGGGTAAAGCAGAAGGGGGGTAGCTGCTCATCCCTGCCATACCTCGCTTGAATAAATTGTTGTGGCCTGCTTTTCAAAATAGGGTTTCGGAATAACCCATTGTACTGTATCAGGTGATATTGTTCCTCGGGGCTCTCCAATGCATTATCACCCTTCTTTCTTCCAGTGGAGTATGGGAGTCCTTACCAGTTCCAAGCCACTGGAGTGGTCGACTATGGAGGCACCTTCCTGAATAGATTCCACACAAAGATGGCTATAATCATTCAGTGCAGAGTAGGGCGATTGTGTTCTGCTGATGTAGATGACATACTGTTTTCCTATTTGCCATAATCAATATACCGGAGTGAGACGTCAGAATGCAGTTTAACCCTTTGAGTGGGAGCCCTCATCCTACCCTCATGTCGATGTTGGTACCCCTCTGGCAGGTTTTGGATTTAGAGTGAACCAATCAACATAAGTCCTCACACAAGTTTGGGTTGTCTATCTTCCTCCCTCAATATCTCCTCTGTGTTGTGTGTCACAGTGTTGATTCATGGGATTGTACTGGCTCTGTCCTTGGCTGTCCCTCATTTTCTCTTTTTAACTGAGCTGTTATTGCCTTGGTGGGTCCCAGCCTGTTTCACTGTTGAGGAGTTGATTGTATGCGATAGACATTCTTTCAATACCGGATGTCCTGTTCTCGGATCGATAGCTCTGAGCTCATTCTTGTGTAATGCCCAGGAATCGGAGTGGTTCTCACTTTCCCAGTTCTTGAGTTTGAGGTGAAAATGGTGGATCCTCATCCTACCCTCATGCAGATGTTGATATTCCTTGAGGAAGTTTTGGATGTAGTTGACTTGCCGAGTATGGTCTGCTGCACCCTAGCCTCTCTACACCCAGGAGTGCATCCTTTTTTATTCACTTTTCACATTGTGGGATTGAGTTCCATTATCTTTCTCTGGTGAGGATCTCTTTCCTACTACATTCTCTCCTAATTGGCTCTGTTCTTTGCCTTTATGTTATACATTTCACACATAAGCGAAGAGTATACCTGGCTCGGGTGTGGTGCCCATCTTCAGATCTTATCTGACTCTCTCATCTGCGAAGGTATCCTTGAGATGGTTTCGGGAGGTACGTCTGTCTTTACCGCACACTGGCCCATCCTCCTGATCAATATGGGATTCTAGCTAATCTTGTGAGTGAAGGGAAGTACCTTATCGGAAGTTATAATTTTCCTATACTGAAAATTTATTTCCGATAGGTACTTCCATTCATTCACACTTTCCACCCTCCCTCCCCACACACTTCCTGTGCTTCCATTTTCTGCCAAACTTCAAAGTAATAGTTCAGTAGAAGTGCATAGAGGGATTCACATGAATCACATGAGTGTACTATGCTCCTATTGGTGGAAAGGTGATGAATGATGATTTGCATGAGAGACATGTTAAAATCACTTGATTCCAATAGGGTGGAGCAGAAGACTTGTGGCATGCATAAAAAAAAAGTTTGCATATAGGAGGCAGCAATGAACAAGAATAGCTAATCTTGTGAGAGGAGGGAAGTACCTATCAGAAATTCACTTTCAATATAGGAAAATTGTAACTGATCACCAAAGTTGGTTTATATTGTGTACTTGTTCAAAACCTTAATGTGTAAGAGTATCTATTTTTTCATTATATTAATACATTGTTGTGAAATATCACTATATACAAAAGTATTAATATAAATATTAGAATTTTAATACTATTATTATGTTATTTTTTATAATACTGACTTGCAGAGAATCCCAAAGGAAGACACCTGTGGTTGTTTCCTTCAGAGATGGAGAAAGGTTATTTGGTGATCCTGCTGCAGGAGTGGTAGGTGCATATTTTATAATACAGATATTGTTTTTAGACAGTGTTGTAAAGAGCAATGAGTTTAATACTGAAACAGACTCTTATTTGAAAATAATTTACCTAAAATGATTAAGACAATTAATATTAATGATTAACTCTCATGCAGTAAAGTTGGTCGAATTGACTGACCTCATAACCATTTTGTACTCATTATAGTTTCTATACTGTAACTTTTGATACAACTTGTTAATCTTCACAATATTTGGCAGACTTTTAGTAAATACTATAAGTCTTTTGTAAAAAAAAATAAGATTTTTTTTAATGAAGTATTTTTACTAAAGACTTGTCCATGAATATATGTAGTATTTCTATATTCTAGTCTGAGTGCTAAGTGATTTCCATGTTAAGATCAAAAAGACTTTCTCGTCTCAAAAATCTCAAATTTTATTTGTGCCAGCTTTGAAACCTCCTAAGTAAGTTTGAAGCTTCTTTTTTTTTTCAGTAATACTTTATATTTTATTTTCTCTACCCTAACTTGATACCTGACCTCATAACCACTAAACAAAATTAAAATAAATATAAATTATGCTTTTTTTTTAGTTGTTGTTGAATGACTTCAAATTGTAATATGAAATTACATTTGTTTGGCTTAAGTAGCTTTACATTCATAACAATATACATCTATTTATTCATCTATTAAGTTTTATTGGCTTTTGAGCCCTGTTTAACTGGGAATTGCACCAATATAAGCTGTAACTCACTTGATGAATTTGCAGCTTGTGTTACGCTATCGAATAACATTATACACAAGCTACTTGTGAGCTGCTCATGAATGTATGAGCCATTAAAACTTCATACAAGTTCATCAATGTGTTTCCCATGGAAATCAAGATTGAACTGAAAGCAAAATTGACTATTCTCTTTACAGAAAACAACATAATATCATTTTATAGATGAAAACCTTGGTTTCTGTTGGTTATAAAATAGCGTTGAACATCAGAGAGAGAGAGAGAGAGAGAGAACTATTGGCAATTTCTGGAAGAGAGGATGTGACATGCAGGCATGGCAAGAGGGGTCTGATTGTCTATTTAATGGCTCTGTAACCAAATAAGATTGAAGGCTGTGAAAATTATGCCTTGCATGAATGATGATGAAGTTATGAGTAATTTGCATTAAATTTTGTACTTCTTGGAGAGGTGATAAATAGATTAGAGAAGAGGGGATGCTTAGAGAGCAAATGTCAATTCTTACACTAGGGGGAATTGATTTTTTTTTACATTGCTTTAGAAAAGGAAGAATTTAAAACTTGTATACTATTAAAATATGGATTATTAGCCATATTTTTACACTATATTTATTGGTATACTATGAAAAAAAAAGTAGTTTAATTAAATTTTGAATGTAATTCACTAAAACCTCATGTGCAGAAAAGGATGTTTGTAACAAAAGGGGTTAAAGCTGACAAAGCTAATTTTACTGATATTCTACCAGAATTATTGTAATAAGTTTTAAATTGTATGGTATGTTGATGAATGTGCATTCATCAGTTATCTTTGCAGTTGATATAGACAGGTTCCTGCTTTTATGATATAACAGTATTGTAAGAAATAGTATATTGGGATTTATAAAATAATCATTTTGGGAAGAATGGTAAAAAAAAAAGATGTTACTCATATCAATGTTAATTGAAATTTATCAGCTTGTGTACGTGTGTGCATATATCATATAGTTTCTTTTGTATTCCACTCATCTCAGGCTATTCAGAATATAAAATATTATGCTTAAGTTGCACTTTTCTTTTGTAACCACTGTGCAACCAAGGAATTATTTGCTACTATAACTGACTGTTATAGGTGTATCTTGGTGAAATTTGGTAAGCTTTTAGTAAACATTACAAGTATGTTGTACAGTGTACACAAAAAAAAATCAGATTCTTAATAAAGTATTTTTACAAATTATTTGTATGTGAATTTATTTATTTCCATAAACTCTAGAACCTTCTAAATGTCAAGTTTTTTTTCAATAAAACTTTATACCTTATATTATTTTCTCTACACTAACACAAACTGTAGTAAAATGATCAATGTACAATCAATGAAAAGGAGAAAATATGAAGCAAAATCAAAAATTCTTTTTAATGACTAGATTGTAATTATTTATCAGGCCTCTAATTTTTTTAACAATTACTTTCATTCAATTTTTTTTTTATGTTAATTTAAGTTTGTCTAAATAAAATAACAAAGCAATAAATTACCTGGCAAGAGCTTACAGTACACAAACTATCAAGTTACATCACAAGATGGCATCTTGCATGCATTCCTCTAAGAGACACGAAAATAAGTTTTTATTAAATTTATTTCATTTAAGTTTTTTTTTTTATCTAACTTAATAAATTTCTAAGTTTCATATGGCTTTCTAATTAACCTATAAATAGCTTTTAAAATATTCCTTGCTGCTCGAAATAATGACTTTAGTCTAAACAGATCAATCACTTCTTGTGAACTATTGGCCTTGGTAGCTAAAATAAAACCATTATCTGACTTTTGTAGTTTAGAATATGCTCTTTTATTGGATATTAACACTTTCACTATGAACATCTTTTCTGCTCATATCACAAGGTTTTAGTGATTTACCATCAAAATTTTATTGACCTATTTGTTTATCAAGATATGTGAATAAGTTTGGAATAGAAATGTAGCTAATAATCCAAACTTTAATAGTTTAAGTTTTAAGTTCTTAATTTATTATATTTGAATTTTTGTTAGTATGAGAATTGAAACATTTTCTCTCTAAGCATCCCCTTTTCTCTAACTTATTTAACACCCCTCCAAGAAGTATGAAATTTACTGCAAGTTACTCATTATAATGTTGTCATTGCTCAGCCAAAGCATAATTTTTATAGCCTTCAATCTTATTTAGGTACACAGCCATAAAATCGGACCCTTCATGCGATAGCTGAATGTTGCATCCTTTCTTTCAGTAATTGTCTATAGTTCTCTCTGATGTTCAATAGTATATTATTTATAACCAATAGAAAGCCAAGGTTTTAATGTATCAAATGATGTATTAAATTACATTGTTTTCTGTACAGAGAATTGTCTATTTCACTTTCAATTCAAATTTTATTCCCATGGGAAACACATCGATGAGCTTAGCTGAATTTTTAATGTTGCATAGTTAGAAAGCCGGAAAAATTGTGATAGTCATGGGACATTGTCTACTTTTTGTTTGTTATTATTCTGTGTTCTTTGGTATATTATTTAATTAAATAAAAAATCTCGTGCAGTAGTACCATTAGTATTAAAAAAAAAAAAGTAGGTTAAATAGTCATCAACAGCAAAAAAAAAAGACTTGGCCAAGTACTCTATTTCTTGTTTTTCATGTATATGCTTTATTTATTGTTATACAAGTAACTAAAAGGTAAAAATTGGAAACTTTTTACATTAGGTAAAATAGAGAATAATGATAACAATAAAAAAAATTTTTCACAAAGTTTGCTTGCAAGTAACTCATGAGTAGCCCGTGCTTTATGTAATTCAATAGGGTAATGTGAGCTATATGTTTGCAAAGTAATTTACAACTTGTATTGTGGGAATATTAGTTAGACACTGTTCAAAAGACAATAAAACAATAAAATTCTAGTATAAACAGATGTATACTGTTATGAGTTTAAAGCTAATTAGGATAAACAAATGTTTCAATTTGAAGTCATTCTAGAAAGAAAAAAAGGTTAATTTAAATTTATTTCAAATGTTTTTAGTGATTATGAGGTTGGTTAAATTTACCAATCTTGTATAGAGTTAGGGTAGAGAAAATAACAATGCAATATGTAGTTTTACTGAAAAAAAAATACTTGAAACCGAGATTAAGCAAATGAACTTTGAGATTTTACAGATGAAGAAAAGTGTTTTTAATCTTAACATGAAAATCACGTTTCGCTCAGAGCAGTCAACATTTTGACTCGAAGTATTCATGGAAAAACTTTTATTGAAAATGTTTCATTAAAAATTCAGGTTTTTAAAATTTTTTCTTCCTGTCTTCAAATGACTCTTAATGATCATTGAAATTTTGGAAAATTTTGTGAAGATACACAAAACATATTAGAAGTTATAGTATAGAAACTATAAAGGTCAATTTGGGGTCATGAACTTGGCCAATTTTACCGAGCCTGTAGCAAGAGAGTTAATATGTCCAATAACATTGTTGGAGAGAATTATATACATATCTTGAAAGACAGGATATGAGAGGAGCATCTCATGGAGGTTGAACAAATATAGTGATAACTTAGTATAGTAAAAAGATAAAAGGTTGAAATTTTATATTCTGGCTTGTCAATATCTATAGTATGTGTTTCTAGTTGGTTGAACATTTTGAAGCCCTTATAAGGGAAGAGCAAAAAAAAATCTATAAATTAGAATTCAAGAGTACTATCACGCTGTTAGACTCTGACTTACAGATTGAGATATTATTTAAATATTTCTTTTCAAAATTAAGAAATTAAATCTTAGATAATACAAAAATTTGAATTATATTTTATGTTTTTTTGATGCCAATTTTATTAAGTTACATTGATAGTAAAGTAGTTTAAATTTTGATATACTTTTGTAAAAAGGTCGTGACATGTACATTTTGATTTTCTTGTGTCCATAAGGTTAAATAGTCTAATTATATGACATCAGTGAAATAAAAAAAAAAACTTTTTGTCTTCTAGGGTGTTAGGTTTCCAGACAAAGCCTATGCTTACTTTTTAGAGTTATTGGGGAAGAAAGTGGACAACCCTATGGTTCAGTTGTTTCAAAAGCGATTTCCCTACTATACAGTTATACCAGATGAGAGAAGGGGAACAGTTGTATTGAAACATCCTGAAGGCATGTCCTTCACTCCTGAAGAACTTGTAGCTATGGTGTTTAAAAATGCACAAGAAATAGCAGAACATGCTGCAGGTATGATCAGACTTAACTAATATAACCTCTTTTACATTTGTTTAAAATCATGCAGTGTTTCTTGCACCTTATAAAGGAAATGTTTCATGTTCTGTGCTGTATATTTAACTATTTCTTGCATTATTTGTGCTCAGTTTGGTGGACATGATTATGCATTATTGCCGACCATCACACTTTTTTACGTAATAAACTTTCTTGAAAGATTTTAAGGCCGCATAAGCCATACATATCCTAATACAATTTTCACAGACTCTCCATTGTACAGGGAATGTTGGTTTCCAAGATCTCGTTGAAGCAAAACAAGTACACAGAATTTCATAAATGTGCGTTCAGGTGACTTGATAGATATGTTGGAGAAAGGGATAGTATGGTTACTGGTTTCATTTTCTGTATATCATAAAAATGCTATATTGTACTTAAACTTTCGATGTGATACAGCTATTCATCATAGAAATTCCGTCCATGCTTAGTTTGTTTCAGTACAGTTTTCTAATAGAGATGAGAGTTTGCCTTTGTTTTATTATGTTTTTTTGTGAAGTTTTAATTTTCCACTGTATGAAAAATCAGTGGTATCTATAAAGTGCAATGAACAAAATTTTCTCTTCATTATTTTGGAAAGTGTTCATTGTCAAGTGGTCTGTATCAAATTGCCTATTTCTTGTTGTAATCATTCAAGTACATACAAGCCTTGTCCAAGTTTGCAATAAACTCCCATGTGTTTTGTGTAAACTATTTTTCATAGTAATCTACTGTTATTTCTCGGCAATGTATGTATAGGGTCACCACCTTTTGTACTCGTATTTTTTGTTCCTCTAAATGGAAAGATTTCATGTGCAACTTGTTAGCAGCTAATTTCCTAGTGGTTTCTGGATGACCCGTCTGCTAACTTTAGCAATAGTAGCAGCAGTTCTACACGTGATAGGATGTTGTTTAGGTGGTATTACGTTTCCAAATGAGTGCTCTGGCTATTTCTTGCTAATGCTATTCTCTATGTTATAGACTGTTGTCTTTGAAATTTGTTTATCTGCATCTTTTTTGCTACTTCTCCTGTAGAAATATCCTTCCTAAGAAAAAGCAGTGGAATACTCCCCACCCATAAATCTGCTCATGGTTATGAATTTTATATGAACCACATATACATATGACTAACATATCATCCACAACATGACAAAATCTACACCCAAAATGCTTCTAATTTCCAAAAGAGAACACAAATTGCTTCTGAGGAAAAAGTGCCAAAATCAGTTGTTCTTGATTATTATTTTTGCTGCCTGAATTAAATTCAATAGTTGAGAACGAAAGCCTTATTGCTGGTTGTTCATCTCTTAAGGTTGACAAAACTTGTATATTTCAAGTGAAACTGCTTCATTTTTATTCGTTGTTTGATTTTCCTCCACCCCATCCTTACCATCATTATTTACAGAATCTTTTTAGTACCAAGTTAGATTCCTATCCTTGTAGATTGTTCTGAGAAAGTTATGAATTTGTGATGTATAAATTTATCAAACACAAGGTAACAATAATACATACTGTGTGTCATCAAATTGGAAACCTTGATTATTGTGGCTAACATGTAACATTTCCCTACCTAACCTTGATTAATAGCAGTAAAATACAATAATACTTATGATCCTTTTGCTAAATAGATGGCTTTACATGTCACATTATTTCCTACGGCACAAAATTAGTAAATTAGAAAAATGACAAAGTTTAACTTGAGGTCTAGATTTTGCCATTAATGGTGACATGACTCACAACTGCATGGGATATAAAGTGCAATTAACCAACTGTATGTAAAACACTGTCAATAGAAGTTTGATAATTTGTTACGATACAGTCCAGAATCCTATACCTCTACGTTTATTCATTGATATGTGATTAAAGATGACAAGGCAAGTGTCTTTCTTGCAAGTACAATTGTATTATTAATATTTCTTGAATCTGTATGAGATGTTGTTTGTAGCAAACTATATACGACCATTTATTTACATCGTTCAATTTCATTTAACACTCCATACACGTACTTCAAAGTATTGTGCTGTTGCATATTTCATTAGGCCAGACCATTAAAGATGCAGTTATAACGGTGCCAGTGTACTTTAACCAGGCTGAGAGAAGAGCAGTACTTCATGCTGCAAATATGGCTGGCTTGAAGGTGTTGCAGTTAATTAATGATAATACAGCAGGTGAGTGATTGATGTTATCTCTGTGTTTATGGTACAGATAAAAGATGAAGCACAGGATTGATGTATACCTGAAATTCAACATAGTGAAATAGTATTATATATAATGAATACAACATAACCAGTACTGATGAGCAGTGGTTAGTGTTGAAGATTTATTTATTATAGAATAGAATTGATAACTGATAAACATTAGGTTGCTAATAGTTCTTAACACCATTGGGTGTAGAACCAAAGGAAAGTATTGTTTTTAATTGATAATAAAAATAGTTTGCAGAGTTGCTAAAACTTTGAATGTTCTTGAAATTACCCATTATGAAAATCAAGGCCTTAAATTGCTTTAACATATAAATTTTACTGCTGAAGTTTTGAATAAATGTTGTTGAAAATTTGTAATTTCGTTTAAAATTGGACAAATGATAAACAGTTGTTCATCCCCTGCATGAAAACAATGATTTATAAAATTCAAGTCCGAAAATACACATACTGTTTATTTTTCATACAGAAGTCACATTATCTCTATTAATCAGACAGTAGAGAATCACAAACATGTTGAAATCCACACTGCTGGCAGTGTTCAAGCTTTTACCCAATATTTTTAGACTGAAAAAAAATTTAAGGTTAATAGAGATTGGAGCTGCATGATAAGTCACTGTTGGTCCTATCAAGGTTTGATTGATCTCAGCATAATTTACAGATTTGACAAGTTTTAGTTTTATAATTTTCTTTACATTTATTTAAGCTTGTTCTTGAGAGTTGCAGAGTCTTTATGAAAACAATCATGTTTATGTATTAGATATGTATGAGATTTTCTTTTATTGAATGTTATTTAAAGTGACCCATTAATAATTATCAAATCATATAAAGTTCTAGTCCTCTAGAGTCCTGTGAAAAACAATTTCTAAAAATGTTCAACTTTAGTTGTGTAATACAGCCATACTATATTCATTCCTTGTTCAAAATTTGACAAATTCTTATTGGCATCACACATACTAAGGAATAATCAGTGGTTGTGATATATGTTACAATAAATGTACTGAAGAATAATTTCTGAATTTCATATCTTAGGTAAAATTAATATTAGCATGCAACAGCATAAACATTTGTGGCTTGTAAAAAGTATTAGCTCTGGTTACTATATAAAGGGATTGGAGGGAAAAATTCAATTTCACAGCCATTGTTAAATAGATAGTAATGAAAATTCAATGTTGCCATGTTTTTGAAACACTTATTTTACCGGAAGAATGATTGCAAGAGTTGAGGAATTTAAAACAAATTGAAATTAGTTTGTTTTTTTGTATACCCATCAGATATTATCATAAATACATGTAAATATGCATATTTGGTATTTATCTATGATGCAACTAGATTTTCAAGTGATGCATGAAATATTATGTGATTAAAATAGCAGTTTGTTATTTGCATCAGACATTGTCGTATGTAAATATGGGTGTTCAGTATTTATCTGTGTACCACATTGTAAATAACTACTGCTTCTGCTGTGTAAAACTTAAAGAACAAAATTAAAGATGGAGAATGTTATATATTACTCTCCATGTCACAAGTATATATGCAGTTTTTTTAACTCTTAAATTATGAATTAGTTTTAACAATACTCACTACTAGTGGGGGGGGGGTGTTTTTAGTGTTTTTTCCTCTTTATGAAACACCTAGTGTAAAGAACTGACCAAAACAAATTGGGTGCAATCACTCATTGCAATCAAATACACAAGGAAACCTAATCAGTAATTTGTGGTAAATTAATTAGTGTTGATGGTAATTTTTTTATATTTTTGTGTGTGACTAGTATGGTAGTAAGAATAATTAACCAACAAAGTGGTGGATTCACAAGTAATTTGATGCATAAATCATTTTAAAATGTCAAAATCAGGTGGGGTTTCTTTGGTAGTTCTAGAGTCAACCACTTATTTAATTTATTGATTTTTTAAACAAGCACGTTAAAGTTTAAGACTAATTTGTAAATATGAATGAGTATAAATAAAAACTGATTTTGGCTGTTTCTAGCAGAAGGATTTAAAAATCTAGTGAACTGAATAAATTAATTTTATGACATAAATTGTTAAACATTTTCAAATTCAATATGTCTCAACTAAACAATTTCATCCAAAGAATTGCTAATAAAATTTCTTATTAATGATCCAAACTTGAAAAAATGAAAGGCTTAGGGAAATTGCTTTTGTACAGATTTTTAGAAATACAGTTTAATCCTTTGTAGGTTTTACAAAAGTGGTTAGGGGTACCATATAATATTTAGTTCTGTACAAGTGATTATTTGTGTTTTTTTTTGTATGTCTTAATTTTTTCAAAGTGTTAAGGAGTGCAATCTAGGCTTTAATTCTATTTTTTTTGAGACTTGGTTTGGAAAATTATGTACTTAGTTTTTTAGGTTACAAGGAAGAGCACAGTTTTATAAGTGGTTTGGAGAGTAACATATTTCTCAGTTATAACAGGTAACTGAGAGTATTGTCTGCTTTTTAGTTTTCACAATGGTTTTAATACTTTGTATTCTTTATCATAATTATTGACTAGAAGTACATGTTCGTCCTGAGGCTTTTTTATAAATGATTTAAATACATACTTTTTTGTACATGTCACTGTAAAACAAAAGGAGGGTAATTTTATTGGAAGATACATTTTCATAGAAAGGCTTATTAAATGTTATTATAGAAATAAAATAAAAATTATATCACTTTATAGTATAGTAATAAATTTACTTTCATTTCTTTTCAGTTGCTCTGAACTTTGGTGTGTTTAGAAGGAAAGATTTCAATGAATCTATGTTTAATATAATGTTCTATGATATGGGAGCGAGCAGTACAGTTGCAACAATTGTTACTTACCAACTTATAAAGTCTAAAGAAGGAAGATTTGTTGAGACAAACCCACAACTTACTGTTAGAGGAGTTGGGTATGTTTTCATTTTTTTTTTACTGAATGTATTTGCAGATAGTAAACAAGACTGGAGACAAGCTAAAAGAGATTGAAACATGTAGCATTTTGAGTTGCTATAGTGAAATGTTTTACAGCTTTTTTGTAATACAAATATAGCAAATATTTTGTAATAATAATTTTTAATTTAGTATATTATGAAAAGGCAACACATTTTAGGGCATAATTTATCTGGATTGCATTGTGAGATGTTAAATTAAGATATTCTGTTTTGCACAATGTGCTATTTTGCATCAAGTGCCAATTTGGTCTTAAGCAATGGATTAGTAAAATCAGATGTCTTTCAGAATTTAAACATTGTCGAAGAAGGGATGTAACTAAAAGATTTTTACAGCTATTAAAATATGACTGAAGCTTTTCATAAATTATTTTGTCATTATAGTTACTTTTAAGTAGAAGAGACTGAATATAAATAAGCTTAATGTGAAGATATAAGAGTGCCATGTGAATAAAATCAAATTTGATCTTATACATTTTATGCTTATATAGCTGGGTAGTTTATAGCTGTTTGTTTTATATAGTTTTTTTTTTTTTCAGGTTTTATTGATGTATGTTTCAATAAAAATAGAAATGAATATGTTTTTAAACTTTTCACATTTGAAAACTTAAGACGCCAGTATGCACCATGTGTTGTATATGGTGAACTTTTATTTGTTTTCTATTTTTTTCTAGAAATTTTGTTCCCCTGGTGGGACAGTGGTAAGTTTACGGACTTACTATGCTAAAGTTTAGGGTTTGATTCCCTTTGGACACAGTAGATAGACTGAGGCTTTATTTATTAAAAAAAACAAAAAAAACTACAAGTATTTGATGTAATGGTTGTATAAATTAATTTTCCAGTTTTCCATTTTCCAGTTTTGTACTTATTTTTTGTGTCTTAAGTTTCAATATGTATAATGTTAGTTACACTGGTAAACTTTTCTTAAGTTTGATCGTTTTTATTGCAAGAAAAACTTTTATGGTAAATTAAACATAATTTTATGTTACTTTCTTTTTTTATCATGATCTTGCCTCATTGTAGTCTGTCCCTGTTGCTGAGACTTAATGTTTCAAACACTAAGCCTACACAAAATCTCTTAAAGTTGAAAAAATAAACTTAAAAAAAACCTCTGTTAAGGTGAGAAATGTGATGATATTAATCTCCCCTGTTCTCTAATGGGACAGCAGTAAGTTTATGGACTTACAGCACTAAAACATAGGCTTCGATTCACCACAGTGGACACAGTAGATAGCCCAATGTGGCTTTGCTCGAGAACAAACATACAAACAAATGATCTCTCCTTGGAAAATTTGAAAACTAACAATGAGTTGTATTCAGTCAGTCAATAATTTGAATGAGATTCTTAGCAGATTGTAAACAGTTCCTCTCCATAATAGAATCCAGCTTTTATAAATTAAAAAACAAAACAAAAAAACTGATAAATATTAAATGAATTTCAATTAGTTTACCTTGTGTTTTCTTCCAAATCATAAATGTCGGAAACAAGTGACAACTGTAGTGTTTCAGTACATTTTGTTTCCATAAAAGAAACATTATTTAAGTGGTCAGTGCTGTCACTGTTTTAAGCCAAAATTATAGCATAATGAAAAAATTTTACGATGAGTCATTCAGGTGAGATGGCTTTAGTTTGTGGTCCTCTCGACTTAAAATATTTAAATCCAGGGTCAATTCCTTAGAGTGGAAGAGGTACAAAAAACACATTGTGTAGCTTTGTGCTAAAATGAACTTTTAATTTTGTTTTGCATTACCAGTTATTTTATAGTTATAGAGGGTGAAAACTAATTTCCACTTGTTTGTATGTACATATACAAGTATGTGTATTTCGTGTAATTACATATATGCATATAACATTCCATCTTCTTTAGCATTCTGTAAAAATAATAATAATAAACTATTGGAAACAACAAAACACTATCACTAAAAATCTTTTCTTTTATTAATCAATAAATGAACACTGACTATTACAACTTGTTTATTTTTTACCACCTAAGTTAAGTGTAACAATCTAACACAAACTAGCTGGATACTGAAGCTACTGAGAACAACAAACGTATGTACTTCAGCACTAACAGGTAGATGTTTACAAAATATTTGGGGTCTGTGAAGACCCTGGAAGATTAATGCAGGGTTAAATATGTAAACAAGAAAAACATATACTTCAGTTTAACAAGAAACTTAAGTTGGTGCTATAAAATCTCTGGTATTTCAGCTTAAGGATTATTAGAGTGCAAGTACTGTGCAAGAATTATTACTCAGTGTTAACGTTTTCTTTTGACAGCTTTGATAGATCTCTTGGTGGACTAGAAGTTCAGCTTCGTCTCCGAGACCATTTAGCAAAATTATTTAATGAGCAGAAAAAAACACCAAATGATGTTTTCCAGAACAAAAGAGCACTTTCTAAGTTGTTTAAAGAAGCTGGAAGATTAAAAAAGGTTTTGAGTGCAAATCCAGATCATTATGCACAGGTGAGTGTTTTTTATATAAAAAACAAATAATGGTTGAAATATTAACATAATGGTTTGGATATAAGTCACTTTTTTTTATTATATCACTTTGAATTTTGAAGTGCAATTTATAGCCTATTTCTATGAAAAACAAAACATTTTAGTATTGATACCTTGTCATTTTGTAACATTTAATTATAATAGTGTAATTTTTGCACAGCTCCGAGTAACTACTATTTCATGAATTTATGTCAATAATTTTGGTATCAAACTGTGATTATAATTCAAATTTTAATACTATATATTACTCAATTTCTTAAATTAAAAATAACAAAAAAATACAGATAAACATTGATTT